GCATCAGGTCGTCTGTGGCCGTGTCTGCCGGCCCACTGAGGTGATATTTCGTCGGATTGAGCTCTGATCGGGATATATCCGGCCGCTCTGGCGGCTCCGACTGCGACCAGTCCACCGCTGCTCTGGCGGCTCCGACTGCGACCAGTCCACTGCTGCCTGAGTCTCACTGCCCAGTCTGCTGCTGCCTGCGTCTCACTGCGACCAGTCTGCTGCTGCCTGAGTCTCACTGCCCAGTCTGCTGCTGCCTGAGTCTCACTGCGACCAGTCTGCTGCTCCGGCCACAGGGCTGCCCGGCGCCGCTTCAAATGAGGCCCGGCGGTCCGCCGTTACCGGGATGGAACGGCGGCGGCGGAGTGAGGCGGCCAACCGGCCGACCCCCGGACGGACCCCGGACGGACCCCGGACGGACACATGAGGACTGCTGGACGCCGGAGGCATGACCGGCGGTCAGCGAGCCGCCCCCCCCCCCCCTCCCGGTAACGGCGTCAGATCGGCCGTGTAAACATTTACGTCAGTGTGGCCTGTACTGACGCGCGTCACTCACCCCGGCTGTGTGACGGATAGCGACACTTCGACACCACTCAATGGATTCTGCTCAGGCACTCATTTAAACATGTGAGCAAATATGTTGTGAACTTTGTCCGAATGTATCTACAAAGAATATCAGAATAGCCATGTTTCATGAGATTCTCAATACGCGACTCTGACTTCTCTCGGTTGTGTAATCTGATATCGTGTCAGCTCCCCGAGTGGCCCCAGGCCCCCAGCTGTGACTGTTTCCCCGGCTGTGTATGCATGTATATGATCGTATCAGCTCCCCCAGCGGCGTCAGGTTTGGTTGATCGTGCCATTTCCCGACCCGTGTATACAGTCGTGTCATTTCTCCCGGCCGCGTGTCGGCCGAGCGGCTGGTCGGGTGGGCTGCCAGCGTGCAGCGGCCGAGGAGCGGCTGGTCGGGTGGGCTGCCAGCGTGCAGCGGCCGATCGCTCTGTAGCCTACTCTCCGCGGCGGTTTCCGTCACCTGTGGGCGCCCTGTGCGACCCTGTGGCCGTCCTGTGACGTCCTGTGGAACACTGTGAGTACCCTGTGGGCGCCCTGTGGCCGTCCTGTGGCCGACCTATCCATCATGGTGCGGCTCATTATCTGAGCGATCGGTCGGCGCTCGCTCGCTCCCAATCTGAGCGGCTGCCGGGGCGCGCCTATCCGCCGCCAATAGATGGTGTCGGCGCCGGCAGCCAGAGATATGGCACTGCCGGGCCCGGCCGCCGCCGGATTGGAGTGGGAACGGCTGGACGGGGGTGAGTGACGACGGACCGGCCGGCCGGCCCGGCGGGGCCGTGCGACAGACGGCGGGGGGCGCCGTCACTCGTGACAGGTCACTGATCGACAATACCAGCTGAGCGGTGGAAATGAAGGCAGTGATTCCATGCCACTGTTTGTCTTTTTTGCAAATGATTCAATAAGAAAGAAGTGAGAAGCCGGTATCATTATTACCTATAATAATGCCACACTAATCCAGGAGAATCAATAAGGTCATCTTTAAGAAGTGCCCACCCCTCTGTGGCTATCAGGTGATGTCTGATGTCTCGGATGTAGGGTGGTGTGACAGTGGCGGTGGCGGTGGTCCGACCTGTCGGGGTCGGAACTAGCGACAATCGGCGGCCGTCGCCACCTCTCCGGCCAAACAGCCCCGAGTGTTTGCGGCCTCTGATGGCCCATCCGGCTCCATTCGGACAGAAATATCAGACCATGAGATGGATGGGTTAAACAGGCCGGCGCCGGCGGCAGCGGACACCCGACCATAACCCGGCGGCCCGGCCGCGCGCCGCCGCTTCTTCGAGCCGTGACGGAAACACTGCTCAGCCGGCGGCCCGCTCCTCGGCCGCCCCGCTCCATTGTCATTCAGCTGGTTCGCGCTTTATTCCATATGTGACTGACGGCATCACATTCTCCCTGTAAACGCGAGTACTGCGCCTACTTGATCCGCGCTCCGACCGTAAAATTATTTATGTGCACAATGCATCAGCTTTAGGGCTTTTCTAGGCGATTCACTTGAATTCTTCAGCTGAAAATAAAGAACAGGGACGGCTTTCTGTGAACTTGGACAGCAGCCAGCCTTAACATACATATACTGTGTCATTGTGTACAGAGTATACCAGACTCGTTGCACGCGCAGGAGAACCTATGCACGGCTCCCTCCCCTCCCTACACTTCTCACCGGTAGAAGCGCTCCCCCTCTCACCGGTAGAAGCGCTCCCCTCTCACCGGTAGAAGCGCTCCCCCCTCTCACCGGTAGAAGCGCTCCCCTCTCACCGGTAGAAGCGCTCGCCGTCAGCCCAGCGCGACTGCCCGCCGCCGGTGCAGGAGAGCGCCGGGCTGAGGCTGAGGTTGCCGGCCGCCGCCCGGTCCCGGTACAGCAGCTCCAGGCCGTGAGCGTACACCGTCATGGCGCGGCCGATCGCCTCCTTCAGACTCTCCTCGTCCGTCCGGAAATGGACGCCTGCAGCGGCAGGGGGTAGCCAGGAGATCAGTAACCACGGAACGGGTACGTACATCACACGTGGCGGCAGGGGGTAGCCAGGAGATCAGTAACCACGGAACGGGTACATTACCCCCGGCGGCAGGGGTTAGCCGGAGATCAGTAACCACGGAACGGGTACATCACACGTGGCGGCAGGGGTTAGCCGGAGATCAGTAACCACGGAACGGGTACATCACACGTGGCGGCAGGGGGTAGCCAGAAGATCAGTAACCACGGAACGGGTACATCACACGTGGCGGCAGGGGGTAGCCAAGAGATCAGTAACCACGGAACGGGTACATCACACGTGGCGGCAGGGGGTAGCCAGGAGATCAGTAACCACGGAACGGGTACATTACACGTGGCGGCAGGGGGTAGCCAGGAGATCAGTAACCACGGAACGGGTACATTACACGTGGCGGCAGGGGGTAGCCAGGAGATCAGTAACCACGGAACGGGTACATCACCCCCGGCGGCAGGGGTTAGCCGGAGATCAGTAACCACGGAACGGGTACATCACACGTGGCGGCAGGGGTTAGCCGGAGATCAGTAACCACGGAACGGGTACATCACACGTGGCGGCAGGGGGTAGCCAGAAGATCAGTAACCACGGAACGGGTACATCACACGTGGCGGCAGGGGGTAGCCAAGAGATCAGTAACCACGGAACGGGTACATCACACGTGGCGGCAGGGGGTAGCCAGGAGATCAGTAACCACGGAACGGGTACATTACACGTGGCGGCAGGGGGTAGCCAGGAGATCAGTAACCACGGAACGGGTACATCACACGTGGCGGCAGGGGGTAGTCGGCATAACACCCCTGCTGGCAGGTGTACCACTATCGTGCTCGTGCTCGTGCTAAATTAGTCGGCATACCACCCCTGCTGGTGTACCAGCCCGGGCGGTCGGCGTACCCTGGTAGCTGGTTTACCACCCCTGCTAGTTGGCATACCGTCCGCGCTGGGCGGTATACTAGGTGTGAATTTCAAGACAGTAATATGCAGTCGGCTGAGCCGTAATAAACAATTTCAGACCACATGAAGCCGCCAGAAGTCTCGTAATTCTGCTATAAAGGCCGATGTGACAGTGCATAATTGAGGTCCGCTATATACCGCTCCATTGTCAGTCCGTCTCCGTTTTGGCCGCTGAAATGGCGGCGGTAATCCCCCGGCTCCATTTGGAGATGCAGTGCCGCGGAGACGACGGACGGGCCGACAGCAGAGTTAGCTATTCAGGGAGCGGCGCTGGTTATTCAGGGAGCGGCTGGTAATTCAGGGAGCGGCTGGTAACTCAGGGAGCGGCGGGTAACTCAGGGAGCGGCTGGTTATTCAGGGAGCGGCGGGTAATTCAGGGAGCGGCGCTGGTAATTCAGGGAGCGGCTGGTAACTCAGCTGGCGGCGGGTAATTCAGGGAGCGGCGCTGGTAACTCAGCTGGCGGCGGGTAATTCAGGGAGCGGCGCTGGTAACTCAGCTGGCGGCGGGTAATTCAGGGAGCGGCTGGTAACTCAGCTGGCGGCGGGTAATTCAGGGAGCGGCTGGTAACTCAGCTGGCGGCGGGTAATTCAGGGAGCGGCTGGTAACTCAGCTGGCGGCGGGTAATTCAGGGAGCGGCGCTGGTAACTCAGCTGGCGGCGGGTAATTCATGGAGCGGCTGGTAACTCAGCTGGCGGCGGGTAATTCAGGGAGCGGCGCTGGTAACTCAGCTGGCGGCGGGTAATTCAGGGAGCGGCGCTGGTAATTCAGGGAGCGGCTGGTAATTCGGGAAGCGGCTTGTAATTCAGGGAGCGGCTGGTAACTCAGGGAGCGGCGGGTAACTCAGGGAGCGGCGCTGGTAACTCAGCTGGCGGCGGGTAATTCAGGGAGCGGCTGGTAATTCAGGGAGCGGCTGGTAATTCAGGGAGCGGCTGGTAATTCAGGGAGCGGCGGGTAACTCAGCTGGCGGCGGGTAATTCAGGGAGCGGCGCTGGTAACTCAGCTGGCGGCGGGTAATTCAGGGAGCGGCGCTGGTAATTCAGGGAGCGGCTGGTAATTCAGGAGCGGCTGGTAATTTAGGGAGCGGCGGGTAACTCAGAGAGCGGCGCTGGTACTTCAGGGAGCGGCTGGTAACTCAGGGAGCGGCGGGTAATTCAGGGAGCGGCTGGTAATTCAGGGAGCGGCTGGTAACTCAGGGAGCGGCGCTGGTAACTCAGCTGGCGGCGGGTAATTCAGGGAGCGGCGCTGGTAACTCAGCTGGCGGCGGGTAATTCAGGGAGCGGCGGGTAATTCAGGGACCGGCTGGTGAGTCTCCGCTCGCCATCGCCACCGAAAAAAAGGCCCGTTCATACGCTGCTCGATATTGGTCAGGAATACCTACATAGAAGAGACCGAACCCAAATAAAACCCGCATCGGGCATCGGGCAGGTCATCTCTTAAAACAAGTTGTGTACCATTTATGCCCATCGATTTTATAGAATCCAATCCATGTTTGATCCAAATGGATCGGTGGATCGGTGAGACCACTAACCATGATATATAAGGATTTTTGAATGGTTCTGTTTTTTAGATCCGATGTAAGTATAGGCGATTATGCGAATATGCCGAAAGAGGCTGAAACACACTCTTTCGGCATATACGCAGGAAATCGAATCCATCAGCCTCTTCCAATAAATTAGCTTCCACCCGTATATTGTTGTTTTTATCCCGCTGCACTGGAGTACCTTTATTTGTCGCTTTTATTACTTCTTTTATCACATGTATCAAGTGTTTTACTGGTGTGTCTTTATTCATTTATGTGTTTGACATGTATGACGTGGCCATGATCTACGCAGTGGGGGTGCCGAATAAATATCTGTATCTGTATCTGTATCTGTATCTGTATCAATCGCACGCACCTGGGGTGCTGGCGGATCGTACGGCCCTGGAATACCTACAGTGACGTCATGGACTTTAGCCTGACTGGTCGCTATATTAAAGGGACTATCCCACCTTTAACATGGGGTTTGAGTTGAGATAGCCAAGTTTGCGGCGAGGTTCAGAAACCACTATCTATCTAGGTTGCAACCCTCGCGGCCTCTTGGTGTTGAAGAAATTTATTCCCTTCATTTGAAAATGGGCCTTGTACAAGGCCCTATCTTCAACATGGAGCGACCGTTAGTGTGACGTCACCTCGTTTAGTCATTCTGATTTAAATGGGTTTGTTCGTTGAAAAATCGCTTAAAACTTGGCCTAAACTTTGTTGTGGTGCCTACAGAGTAAAAAGAATCAGCTTTATGACAGTAATGTGGCCTGGGGAAGGAGGTAATTTTGGGCTGTGACGTCACATATTTGAAAGTTTGTGTTTGGAATATGGGAAGCCTAAGATGTTTAATGAAAAATAAATGCCAGAATCGTGTTCCTGGCCATCCAATCTATAAAGTCGGGCACAATTTAACTGGTTTTAACAACATTTAAGAAGGTGGGATAGTCCCTTTAAGATCACAGATCAAACATTGGGTTCATGGCATGCAATTAAAGGTTCACGTTTCTTATGGAACCCGTGCATAGAAAGGTATCTGTCGTGCATGTAGTTATGCATGCACGCGGTTAACCCGGCGGCCGCTGGGCCTCCGCGCCACCCGCCGGCCGCTGGGGGGGGGGGGCATAAAGTTGCCCCCCCCCCTTTACTTCTGCGACGATATCGTCGCAACGCAAAGAGATAGAGAAACGAAACTTTGCACACATCTTCCTGAATACCTAGCCGAGGTTGTGTCCAAATTTGGTGTCGATCCCATTTTAAATGACGTCACAGTGACGTCATAAGTGAAATTATAGATTTGCGACTCTCATATTCCTCACGATACATCACATATATGGGACCGAATATAAAGGGCCGATTATTGGTCAGAAACTAGATGGAAGTGTAGCAAGATGTTTTAGGATGACAGCAGGTGCTGTCTAGTTCATTTACAGTCGAGTTTCATGCTCAGCGTCATCAGAAACGGTCCATATCGGAAAACGGCAAAACTTTATGACGTCACTGTGACGTCATCTTAGGTGCTACAACCACTAAACTTTTTTCAAACATTGCCTAGGTGTTCATTTGAAGCTATGCCAAGTTTCACGTGCGTAGCTCATCAGGTTTCGGAGATATTTCACAAAACGTAAAGGGGGGGCAACTTTATGCCCCCCCCCAGCGGCTCGTGGGTTAATAAGCACCCATGATCTGAATGTATATGTATAATGTATATGTTAGCACGAATGGATCTGGATGTATGTATGTATGCGTTGTATGTAAGTATATGTATATGTAATAGGTATGTACATATATGTGTATGTATGTATGCTTGTAGACATGTAAATGTATATGTTTGTAGTTATGCAATATGCATGTCTGCATTTAGAGAAATGAAAGCATGATTTTATGTCGAATCGCCTGTTGTTTAATTGGCCGCTTATTAGCCCGTTCATGTTGAGGAAAACTTCAATTTAGCTGTTTTAGCAATTGTGATGCTTGGTCGATTCTGTTATATTTTATCCCTCATTTTTCCCCCAAAAAGATAAGGCTTAGAGTCAAGGGCCATACTTTGACCAGCTTTTGACGAATGCTGATTGCTGAAAGCCTCATTTATTTTAGTACATAGACCGCAAAATATAATGTAAAGTTTTATAAATAAATGCAAACAATGCATAATGCATAGGCACTATTTTCATTCTCTCGTTTATTTCTAATTTTGCAGAGGCACCTCACTAGCAAAAGTTTTGTGTTGCCTTAAGGCCGCCTCACACTGGACCTCGCATGCGGGTTGCGAGTTTGCGGGTTTTAAGTTTGCGGGCATAATACTAATTCATAGAATGATTAGACCGCTTCCTTATGGTAACATCATGAATGCAGTGAAGCCGGTACACCTTCAGAAAATTGTATATAGTCGCAATACCAGCGCAACGAACCAAAATTCGACTCCAACGAAAACCCCGCAAGCCTCGCAGAACTCGCATACCTCGCAGCGAGGATACTCGAAA